AGCAGGAATCGGTAGGAAGTTTTAAGTTTGGAGTCCTGCCTGTCAACACCAGCCTTGTTCTGGAGCTGGATGGGAAGGAGAGGCACGTCCCAGCTGCCCCACAGGATGAGGGATTCCTCTGTAGAATGCTACCTGGATGGGAAGGAGAGGCACGTCCCAGCTGCCCCGCAGGATGAGGGATTCCTCTGTAGAATGCTGCCTAGGTGTTTGCTCCAAACATGCCATTTGTGGTGGCTTTGAAATGGCATGTTGTGCCGTTCCCTCAGTTGTTAATTCGTTAGCTGCAGCCCCAAACTTCTGATGTCTCATGTCCCTTTTCTCTAGGGGCGTGTTGTATTACTTGGGGAAAAAACAGTGTGGTTTAAGATGCGATTGCCCGTTTCCCCCTTTTTCTCCTCCTGTGTATTAAGGCCATGGCCAGGATTTACCGTATGAGTGCTCCCTAGTTCATATTCATGCAGCATTAGCCAGGTCAGCTCAGATCACTTTCCCCAGGGTTTTAAACTAGCCTGGCTGATGCTTTTTCCACTAGCAGGTCAGTTATAACCAGCTGGAGGGCAGTAACTGCTTACATTGTTCCAACTTATTTTGCTTATAGATACCTTGCTGCATCTGGAGAGTCCAAGAGAGTTGTAGTGGATCAGGTCTTTTCCACTCAAAGTGAGCTACCCCTGCTTTAAAGGCTGCAGATTTCACTGAAAACTCCCATGTTAGGTTTTTTGCATTTCTCTGCCTGTGCTGTCCAAGCTGGACACAGGTTGTGAAATAAGATTTAGTTAAAACAGTGACATCTGAAAGCATCTGCTCTCCTCCTGGTTTAATAACCCATTCGGGGGTTGTAGCTTGTCTATTCACACCTATGGTGTCTGTGGTGCTTGCTTGAATTGCCGTGCATTTGCTCAGTGTGCTTCCTTGTCCTGTGTCTAATGAAGAGCACAGGCATTAGACCTTTCACCGGCAACCTTCTGTTGGTGGGAGTTTGGGCATTCACTGCTTTTCCTAGCCCATTCCCAGCTGGATTCAAGCTGCCTTTCCCTCTGAAGAGCATGTAGGGCTGCTTCTGGGAATGTGGGTAATATCCAGGCTGGGTGGACATTGTACTGAAGCATCCAGTGGATGTGTTTTTGCTCCATTTGGCAGGATGTGGGCTCAGAAATTCAGATAGGCAAAAGGCTTCTTCAGGATTGGGAAGAGTAGGCAGTGTGCAAAGGAAAACCTTGGAGAAAGACCCAAGTGCTGTTTTCTTTCAAGGAGCAGGGAGGGAAACAACTGTCAGATCCATCCTGTCTCCTGCCAGGGAGAGCCAGCGCTGGAATTCATCAGGTTTTCCCTGCAATGAATATAGCTGCTGGCTCGCTGGAGCCCAGAGACACCCCAGGCTTGAAAATGGAGCTGTGCTTTTGCTTTGAGACTTGCTGGGGCCTTTGGCCGAGTACCAGCATTTTCCCCAGTAACTTCCTTGTTGGTGTGTAGGGAGGCTAAGGCTCACGTTGCCGCCTGGTTCCCATCAGCTCATCTGGAGACTTCTGTGGTGCCAAACAGCTGGGGTTTTCAAAAATTAAAATAGAAGAGCTGCCCTCAATCGTGGTGCAAGCTCAGCACAGAAGTTGCTATCCAGTGGATAAGATTCTTCTGGAGGCGAATGGGAATTTTTGGCCTCCTCCCTCCTTTGCAGCCCCAGGTTTCTGCGTGGTTGCGGCAGATGGTGAAGCAGGCTCTGTCTGTGACCCAGCCATGTTTCCTGAACCGCCACAGCTCCTGGCAAACCGAGCTGCAGCTGGAGCCGGCTGTTTACTCAAAGTGAGCACACAAGCTACCCACGATAGGTGTATGTGGTGGTGTGGAAGGGCTTGCCTTCTCAAGCAGACGCTTTCCCCGCTGTTGAAAAGTCCATTGATTGTAGCTACAGCTTTGAGAGGGCTTCAGACAGGAGCTGAGGGAGGAGGGACATCCTCAGTTCTCTTGGATAGCTTAGCATCAACTTTTCTGTCCTAAAAATAAAAAAAAGCTGGATTTTGTCAGCTCCATGCCAGACAGGGTAGAAGGCAGATTGCGGCGGGTGGAGCGGCTTATGCACATACCATTTATTAATATGTAATTACTGCACTGAGACGAGAAGACTGGGAATGTGGTTTGCTTGCTTGCCTTAGTGCTGTTTGTGCTGCACTCGGTTCACTGGGTGAAACCAGGCCGTCAATCTTAAATTGTTTACTGCACAGGAAAAAGGCTCCTCCAGGCCAGTTGGCAGCAGCTCCGAACAACCCTCCCCGCTGTCCTAAACCTCTGTGGAGGTTCTCTGCTTTGGTGTAATGAAAACACTCCTATAGTTCTTGCTATTTTAAGTTAGTTAACGAAACAAAGCTATTGTAACAGCTGCACTGAAACACAATTCTTCCTATAAATTGATGCGAAGTAAAAACCATTATTCAAGCCAGTCCTGTAGGTTAAAACGGGTTATTGTGGCCTTCTGAGTTGGCCATGAACATCATTGCAAGGCAAGTGTAGTATCTTCTTGCCATCTTCATAGAAATAATCTGCATCCTGTTGTTCCTGCCCAAAATGCCAGATTGTGTGTAATGTCTTCACGTGAAGGTTACTGGTCATGTCAGGAAATTATATGGACAAAATTAATGGCTGACTGTAAGGACGGGAGGCAAGAAGCATCTCTAAGCTTTCCTCAAGAGAGGAGGTTTGTTGAGATCGTTCTGTAATAAGCATTTTCTCCTGTTTGCTGGAAACCTTCCTACTTGTCCTTCAATTTTGGTGGGATCGAAAGTGCACCTAGCTCTGAGATGAGACACAGAGAAGCCTCACCTGCTGCAGTAGGCTTTGAGGGGGACTTTTGAAGCAGCTTTTGGGCACTGCTGAAATGTAGCTGCTTGCTTAGAATTTTTAAGGCCGTTACTGACCTGGTAACACCACCAGATCTCCTGAGCTGGCATGGTCTGTGTGCTTTGCCTGTGCTCTCTCAGTGGCTGTTTTTAAGGATGCTTAACTCTGGAGACAAGTTTGTCTATACGAGGCAGGGAAATTCTTCCAAAATATTCAAATTTCCCTGTTCCTTACTGCCTTTCTGCCCTTCCTTATTTTCTGTTGCTTTGCAGTCTGAGGCTTCAAGTACATTTTTGGTAACTGGAGATGGCAGATACTTTATTTGTTTTTAGCTCTGGGTATATCACATGATTTGTATTAACAGGACCATGTTGCAAAAGTTTTCTGGGAATTCCTGGTGAGGTATCTGGTTGTGTAAAGTCCTGGAAAATAATTCTGGCACCTCCACTGGGCCAGGAGCAGGGCTGCAGAGAACAGCAGAAATCTGTGTGAGCTCATGGGAGGCCTCAGTTCAGAACTCCCTGGTTGTGGTTGGGTGAAACCAATTTTCTCTTCCTTAGTAAAGGCAGTTGTGGGTGGTGTTGGTCAGTGTTGTGTGCAGTCTGGTAGCAGTCTTCCTTTTTCTTTCTTTTCCCAATATGCCAATTCCTTAGCGTGATGCGCTCACTTGAGTGTCTCACTGTTCCCTAGTGCTGCACCGATACCGACACATCCTGGGATTATGGCAGCCGGACATCGGGCCCTATGGGGGACTGCTGAACGTGGTGGTGAGTACCTCATTCTGGGGGCTGTGGTGTCGAGGACTGATGAGTCTTTTCTTTAGCACTTTCTAGACCTGGTTGCCATCTCCATGCTATTGAGAAGTGCCAGATTGAGACCCAGAGGTTGCTTCTTGGATCTTTTCAGCATCACACCTTTCTCCAGACAGTCCTTTTGTTTTTCAGCTGTATTCCAAACAGCCACAGGAGGACACAGAAAACATGAGCAATGTTTCAGGGAAAGGCTTGATTTAGAGTTTTAATGCCGGTATTCCAGTGGCTGGCACAGGAGTCCATTCCTTGTGCACTGAGCACAGCAGAGGCTTCAACGCTGGCGCGTTGCTTCCTGCATTATCTTGGCCCACAGCTGAACATTTTGCAAAGGGTTTTGCACTGGAGTTGGTACACCTCTGCTTCCTGTAGTATGCAATACTTTTCACTAGCTGTGTCTAATGCATCAGACGTGGGGATACTGGTGCAAGACCTGTGGAGACTGGCAGCTCTTGTTTTGCTGGGGAGAGCAGTTAATGAACAACGCTTGACTCTGCATTGGTGAGAGCTGGGCCAGAAGTTTGCCTGAAGACCTTGTTCTTTGCACCAAGGTTCAATAGCTGACAGGTTGAAGCATAGCAAATCACGAGGCCTTTAGGTTTGCAAGATTGTCTTTATAAAGACAAGCGTGCCTCTGTGGCTCTGCTCTGCTTTCATCTCAGAAAGAAATATCTTTTCTCTGGAATTGCAGGGCTTGAGGGGAAGGATTCTGTTAAGCATGCAGGAAGAGGGCTGGCACTTGTAACTCTCAGCAGAGGAGATTGTTGCTTCCTGTGCTGTCTGTGAGTAATAGAGCCAAATAATTCCTTATCCAAAAGGCACGGATAATCATGAGAACCAGAATTCCTCTATTTGAGTATCTGCCAGCATGAGCTCTCAAACCAATTAGAGTTTCACTAGCTGTGTGGTCTCTTCAGTGCAGCCTCTCCCCCTGGATCCTGCGCACCAAGCATCCGTCACAAAGTCGTTTGCAGTAATAAAGGCCTGATCATTTTCCAGTGGTGCAGAAAGCCTTGTAAAGAAACCCTCTCCCTCTTCACCAGGGGTGTGCTGTGAGTGCATATGGTCTGATTTAATTGCTGGAAAGCAGTTTAGAAATGGAGCAAGCTGTTCTACAGCTCCTGCCCTGTTGCAGCATAGGCCCTGGAGCTGTTTGCTGCAAACTCAACAGAAAACGTGCGAGTCTGATCTTGTACGCTTTGTCTCCCATCCCTCTGCAGGTAGATGGTTTGTTCATCATTGGGTGGATGTACTTGCCACCTCATGACCCTCATGTTGATGATCCCATGAGATTCAAACCTCTCTTCAGGATTCACCTCATGGAGAGGAAATGTGCAACGGTTGAGTGTATGTATGGTCATAAGGGACCTCATAACGGCCATATCCAGGTGAGCTCTTCTAGCGCTTTCAACATCTGTCCTAGGTGCAGTGTGCGTGCGTGCACATTGGCTCTGGAAATGGATTCATAAATAAACTATGAGAATTTTATTTAAGGGATGTGGCTTTCACCACCTTGTTGTATGCATGGATGCCAGCTTTACACTCATTATGTGTCTGACAAGTTGTGTGGGCTGTTCCCCACTCTGAATTTGTTCACTGGCAATAGTACAGCAAGGCTGTTATACAGTCTTCTGTTGGACTGGAACAGGCAGGGAGGGTGGGAGCACCGGTATATGTACAGGCTGGGGGAAATGATCCACAAAATGGCCTTGTGCAGCTGGTAAAGGTGTCCAAGCAGACACACAGACCTGTTCTGTTTTACCGCTTGCTCTCAGACCTTGAGAAGTTGATGTAGCATCCATTCAGTACATTGGATGCTTTGAAAAGCTTCCCGAGAGGTTGTTTCCTTTTCTTTGAGGGAGGAAGCTCAAATAGAGAAGCAACTTAAAATGACCCTCTTTCATTAGAATGCATTGGGGTTTTATTGCTTTTGTTTCTCTATTCTGTAGCTGATGCACTTGGTTTCACGTAGTGATTTCTCTGTTGTAGCAAATTCAGTAACATTTGTTGTATAAAGCGTTTATTCTAAGCAGTCTTAGTTATGTCATCCTAGGCATCTCTAATCAGGTCTGTAACCTGTTAAATTCTCCTCCATGGTAACTACAGATTTTAAAGAAGGATGAGTTCTCCACAAAATGCAACCAGACAGATCACCATCGGATGTCAGGGGGAAGGCAAGAGGTAACAGTGCTTTGCCAAGAGTCTGCATTAAGGCTGTTTGTATGTCCCCTTTGATAAAGCATTGCTGTCTTACCTAAGCTCTTAGCTAATGTTGGGGTTGGGGAGGTGGTCTTCTGCCTTCTAATTTCTTTGTATCTGAACATACGTGAAAACCCAGGCTGGTAGCTTCTGGCTGATCTACTGTGATCTTTCATAAGTGAGTAGAATTGATCTGTGACTTGAATCAAAACTTAAAGTGGCCACACTTGAATAACTGCAGGATCCTGGGGAACCTCTTCTATACTTGCCAAGGTGTGGTTTAAGGATCCAGTATATGGGATCAGTTCAGTGTTACATCTGCAGAATGTCCAGATGGAGATCCTGTGCCTTACTTCAGTGCGGAAGGGGGTGTTGGAGCAGGCTGTTAGGTCCATCCTGTTGAGCAAAAAGCTGTTTTAGGCAGTTGTCTGTGGCAGGGTGCTCTTTGAGCCCCAGCACTCTTTTTCTTCCTGTGCTGTGACACCGTTGCTGTTTGATAGCAGGTCTGTCCAAAGAAAGACAGCAACATGTATTGTATGCCCTGCAGCACTTGCCAGGCACCGATCTCTGTGGTATTGCTGCCTGTACAATTAAAATCTTTCAGACATGCCTAATACTGAGTACCAGCTGCATTTGAATACCTGCTTGTCAGTGGGCACCTTTCTACTGCTTATCGTCTTGGTGGAGGGATTAAAAGTTTCATTTGGTTGTTTATCCTGGATCAGCTATACCCAGCAAGGCAGATTCCTGACTCAAGCTACATGGTTTAAGGTGCAGGTATAAATGTTAGGATGAAAACCTTCAGCTAATACCTGTTCCAGGTAGTGGTGTTTGCTGCCAGCTAGTTAACTGTGACAAATTTGATACTTCAGTTGCTTCTAACAAATGCTTTAAAATGCCTGTCTACTAATGGGAAACAGCTGGGTGAAAGGTTTAGTTAGTTTTGTAGCAGATGAGAAACGCTTTAATACTTTCAAAGCACTGCGTTAAGTGTGCGTGGCATTATGGTAATTGGAAGATCTGGCTTTCGAAGATAAAGCAAGCAGGTTTGGAGTATCACTGGGTAGGCTGCTATCTTAGCGTAGGCTGTTACCATGCTAACTCATGGTAGGGTATTAACTTGTCAGAGCTGCTGTAGAGGTGCTTCAGGAGATGTTTTCAAAGCACCCTTTGGATTTAGATGCATCAGTATTAAATCAGCAGGATTTAACCTCCTAAATCTTCACTACTTTTCAGAAGCTTCCCCTTTTATGTTTAACATGCCAGGATAGGGCACAGGAATCAGCTTATGGGCACACAAATGAGTTACTGCAAGGTAAGGCAGGACGTAAAGGAGTAGTAGATCAGCTACTTTGCAGTAACAGATGATGCTTATGCTTTTATTCTGAGGAGGCAGATTGGTTGTACCTGTAATTTATTTGAAGGGAAGCATGTTTGTTGTGTAGTGTCTGGCAGCTATAGGGCAGTTAGCATTATCACTACTTGTTAAGCATATTTCCAAACCAGCTCTGTAGCAACATGTGCTTGTTCCCAAATCCAGTCATGATCTTCTGCCTTTGACAGAGCATTTGTCTTCTCTGTGGGTCTGCCAGTGAATCGTGCTGACAAAGCAAAGTCACGTTGGAGTACGTCACTGTGGCAAATGAAACGCGTTTATTTTCTCCCTTTTCTCTTCTTGTGTTGCAGGAATTCCGGACTTGGCTAAGGGAAGAGTGGGGTCGGACTCTGGAAGACATCTTCCATGAACACATGCAAGAGCTCATCTTGATGAAGTTCATCTACACCAGCCAATATGAGTAAGGGCACCAACTCTTTCTAGGTATTGAGGCTGCTGCAACTTCAAGAGCACGTGGGATCGTTTGTTCCGAAGACAGGGTGCTTGCAATGGGCTTTAACAGGCAGGGGAATGTTCTGTCTCTGCAGGCGCTGTGCAAAGATATGGTGACGCATAGTGTTTTCCACTTGTACAGAGAGATGAGACGCAATGACAGCAGTAATAAGGTTCCGAGTTCTTTACAATAACTATGCACAATAAGGTGATTTTAGTCATTTCACTGTGTTTAATTTGAAGACAGAGCAAATACCCGTGATCCCAAGGAGCTGCCTGCTTATTATCCACATTAATAAGCAGCATGCTTTGTAGTGCGCTAGGCAGAAATCAGACGGTCCCTGAGAACTGGGGTTTTTTTTTAATGTTACTCTCAACTTCAAATAGCAGCCACCTCACTGTAGCAGATGTTTAAATATGCTTCATTCTTAGGTTCTCCAGAAATCCCAGGGAGCAAGGAGGTTTACTGTGACCTTGCTGCAGGAGCCTCCTGGTGTGCTAACAAGGACTGGGAGAGAGAAGTGAAGGGAGGGAGTGCTTGCAGAGGTCTAAATGGAATGTTAAGCTAGTTGGTGTTGCTGAAAACAGAGATCCCACCTCTCGACGACATCCCAAAGCTGCCTGGAGGAGCAGACTGCAAACATGTTCCTCATGTCGAGGGATTCTCTTAACCTCTAATCTTTTGGGTTTTTGCGCAGCAACTGCTTGACATACCGACGCATCTACCTCCCTCCTAGCAGCCTTGACGACCTCATAAAGCCAGGTCTCTTCAAAGGAACATACGGGAGCCATGGGCTGGAGATTGTCATGTTGAGCTTTCACGGAAAGAAAGCGAAGGGGACTAAAATCACCGTGAGTGCATTTTGCTTTCTCTCGATGCTTGTTGAAGTATTCTCTTCTTGATGCCGTGGATTCATAGGAGAGATCTCTGTCTGGGAGGCAGTCAGTTGTTGCCACCCCAAACCCTGCTCCTCGTGAGGATTGGTGGTATTGAATGAATTTTAACACACGTACAGAGTAGCTAGAACCAGCTCTGCAGAGTTTCTCATGACGCCTCCTGGCTCCCCTTTCCTTTCCTCTCCCTTCCAGCTGCTTTCTGTGAGCAGCTGGTAGCAGGTCCCTGGAGATCACTCACGTGTATCTGAGGAGCAGGTACCAAATGTTGGCAGCTCTTCACGGAAGCCAGGCTAGCGAGCTCCTTCCTCTCTGCAGGGAGGGACTCTGACAAAATGCAGTTGCAGCTTTGACTTTCTTTCACCCTTGCAAGTACAGCCTGGCTCGTAGCTTTTGATTCAAAATTCTCTTTCTGGGAGGGGGGAAAGCAGAGGTGATGTAGACAGCTCAGGTAACAGTGAACAAGGTCTGAGTTTGTGGGGGTTTTTTTGCCCACTTAGTTATTGTAGAATAGGGTGAACTATGGAGAAGTCAGGTGATGGACGTGGGAGGATACGGGTCTGAACTCTGTAGCGCCCTGCCTTTGCAGCCATGCTGTTCCTTCCTGTCTCTAGGGAGATCCCAACATCCCAGCTGGGCAGCAGACTGTGGAGATCGACCTGGCACATCCTCTGCAGCTACCTGACGTTGAGAACCTTCGCGATTTCAGTGAGCTCTCTCGCATCGTCCTGGAGGTCCAGGAGCAGGTGCGTCGGGAGGAGCAGGAGGAGGAGCACCGGCAGGAGGAAGAGGACCGCTCCCAGCAGGTTGTCTCCCAACCTGCCGCGAACCCCCTGGGAGGAGAAGGTGCCGAGGGGGAAGAGACTGCAGCTGGGGCAGAGGGGACGACCCAGGATAAGGCACCAGCTTCCCGGCCCTTCGTGCTGCCCATGGGAGTCATATCGAGGAATGAAGACTATCCCCGGACCTGCCGAATTTGGTAACGGGGACTAGTGGTTTTACAGCCTAGTCGCACGGGTCACTTTTTGAAACAGAAGAGGGGGAGTCTTTGAGGCGTGTTCTGTATTTGCTTGCCCTTTACCTGCATGCAGATCTCTCAGCCGCTTGTGCTCAGATTTTCTGCTGCTGCTGCCCTGCCTCCCACGCTCTGGGTTGCTCCCTCTCTTTCCTACCACAGCGTCATCTGCCATCTCGCTTCCTTGCTAGATTTTATCCTGTTACTTCTGAAGCTAGCTTCTCTCCCGTATCCACCACCCCCCTTTTTTTTCCTTGGTGTTTTGTTTCCCAGAGCTGCCCAGTGTGTATATTTAGAGATCTGTTCAAGCTGCTTCCCATTTCTGTGTGTGTCACTTGTGTTCCTTGGCTGTGGGAATGCTGTGCTCTCTCCCACCCCTCCCTGGCCTCTGGTGCCTTGGGGTGGGGCCAGCTCTGGAAGGTGCTGAGCACCCTGAACAGTAGGTGCAAATATGCAGAGCGCCTTGTTGAATGGGACCTGGAGTCAGTGAAGCAGCATACTAAATGAAGTGTGGCAAAAGAGCCCAAAAGTTGAGGCTTAGGCAGGTGACCTTCAGCCAAACATCTGTGCTCATGGAAAAACCTACCAATAGCTGGTTAATCCCAGAAGGCGCCTGCTGTCACAACTGAGTTGTGTTTGAATAAAACCCTGCTCCACCTGCTGCTTGCTTGGAGGTTAGGCTGACCTTTACTCCTCCCCAGCTCCAGTTAGATTTTTCTTTCTTTTTTTTTTTTCCCCTCTTCGTTCCCCTGGGTTTTGTCACAAGGTTTGCCTCTCTGGTCACTCTCTCGACATGCCTTTCCTCTTCTGTGAGGATTGTCTGGGCCTGGGTTGATCCTTAAGTTGCGGAAGTAAATCTCAGATGGATTACTGGGCTGAACTACAGAAAAATTCAGCCTTTGTGTGCAGGTGCTAATTAAAATAGCTAAAAGCAGCAACCTCCAAATAGTACTGGGTAGTTTCTTTTCTTAAAATGGTATCAACAGTGTTTTGTGCTGTGTGATAAGCACCTGGCACTGTGTTTGACAATGGCTTGATTGTAGCTTTGTATGTGTTTTTCTTTTTAAATTTCTTTTTATTAAATATTGTTTAATTATGGCTGTTCTCACCTCTTTTTTTTTTTTTTTTTTTATTTTTATATTCTTCTCTCCCTGCAGTTTTTATGGAACGGGGCTTATTGCTGGCCACGGCTTCACCAGCCCTGAGCGAACACCGGGTGTTTTTGTTCTCTTTGATGATGATCGCTTTGGATTCATCTGGCTGGAGCTAAAGTCCTTCAGTCTCTACAGCCGGATCAAGGTCTCCTTCCAGAACGCCGAAGCGCCTTCCCGTGAGGCTTTTGATGAAATGCTGAAGAACATTCAGTCGCTGGCTACTTGATGGGTGATTTGTGATGGACAGGGCTAGGGGTTGCAAAGGCTGCTGCACTCCCCAGCCAGGGCTGCGATGGGGATTCCTCGCTCTCGGTACCTCTGAAAAAAAGCATGCACTTTTAATAAAGCCTTTTTACCCCAAATGTACACATCCCAGTTAAAATATCCATGACTGCCCTTTCCTCCCTGCCACTCCACACTGCTCCCTAGCAGTCTTTGTTACCCAGTCTGTAACATAGCTTTGTATAGCTGAAGGGATCCTGCAGAGGAGGAAACAGACCTTTCTTCTTGCAAAAAGAATGTACTGGAACAAAAATAACTCCAGGTCAGAGCTGGATCAGAAGAACATCTAATTGACTGGATGGACAGAAGCCCTCTGCTCTGACCATTAGCAATCTCCTGTGGAAAGAGCTCTTCTTCAGGGAAGGGACTCGTTTAAGCCTTTGTTGTGTTCTAGGCCGATCTATTCTCCTGGAAGACTTGCTTAACCCTCCTGAAAACCTGTGCGGTCCCCCACTGCAGACTGGCTGGCTGCTTAATGATAAATTGCATCAGCAGTGACAAAGCACGTCCTCCTCTCCAGAAACCTTTCTCTGGCTGCAGCGTTGTCAAGAGAGGCTGGTGTAATACCTGCACCCTTGGCATAGTAATTGGAGTAGGTGGTTTCCTTTTGAGAAATTCCCTCAGCTTGGCAGCAAGGGGAGGATTCCCTCTGTAAATGACTGTGTGTTTAGCGTTGCCCTAGCTTCTGGAGCTTGGTGGATGTGCTGTCCCTGGGGCTCTGGGTCTGGCTGTTGCCCTGAGCGTAGAGGAGACGATTCTTAGAGGAGCTGGGTACGGAACTGGAAATGAGTGTAAACTGCAGAAGCTGGTACATTCAGAACTGGTTTTGTACCTGAAGGGTTCACCTCAGATGTTTTAAACTGGGCCTGAAAATGTAAAGGAAGGAGGAAAAAACTGTGAAATAAGCCCAAATGCAGCCTGCTGACTCCTGTGGCCCCGGTTACGTGCCATTCTTGGTTCAGATTGCCCTACGCAGTCTGAAGGAGCGGTGAGGGATTCTCCTAATACTGCTGTGGCTTGTTCTGGCACCTTTTAGGGTTGGTGCTGACAGGTGGGTGCTGCCGCTCCACGCCCAGGACCCTTCTGTTCCCTTTCTAGTTGCTCTTGTTTCATCCCAGATGATTACTGCTTCCACAGAAGGCTCCTGGGCTTCATTTCTTTCCGTGTCCTGGATTTCTCCGCTGGGAAATGTGGGCTGCAGGCTAGGGAGCCGGGTTCCCCATAGACTGTCCTATGCAGGAAAATCTGTACCAGTGCTAATCTACTGTGAGTTGTGCTTAAAAACCATCTCAGCATTTGCGTCAGTGTGAGTTATTAATCATGTGTAGGAAGAGACGACAGGGATCCTTATGTAGGAAGAGAAAAGAGCCATTTGTAAGGAAGCTCTTGGTTACAGGCAAAATGCATCCTTTGTTGTGGTTCGTCTCTGGCTGTGATTATAAACTCCAGGTTTTCTTCTCTTCCTGCTACCAGCCGGATCAGTGTCTAACAAAACTCTGCCTTGACATCTTCTGCAGGTTTTGGTTCGTAAATGTGTCTGTACATGCGTTGCACTGGGAGGATGCGGGCCCCTTCTATGGAGAAGTTTCAGTCACTGCCTAGTTTCACTGCGAGCGGCTTTTAATTCTCACTCTCACAAGGGCTTTTTGCCATTTCTGGCTCTTGAGTGTTCCCTCAAGCTGTGTGAGAACCGAGTCTCCAGCAGAGACTTTGAGCAGAAGGTCACGTCACTCACAGGATTAATTCCTGTCTCTTTGGATATAGTTTTATAAACCTCTGGGAATTTGAAGGTGATTTGAGGCACTTTTTCCTTTGTTTCCTGCTGCTTTGTTAGTAGTAGAAAACCTGCCTCGGTGTTAGAGGTGAGGATCTGAAGTGCTATTGCCCTTCTAGTGAATAAGCTATAACAAGTCATTTGCTTCTGAGCAGCCCGCTGGAGGTGTTCTGTCAGCATCACCAGAGCGAAGAGTTGATGTGGATCTTACCCCATCACGTGGGGCTGGGAGAGAGGAAGGGTGGCACTTCTCCGAGCCTTGGTGTGTGGGCAGAAAGGTGAGCCAGAGCTAAAATCGGGCATCTCAGCCTTTTGCTGCAGCCGCCAAGCTGTGTGCAGCAGGAGAGCATCTGCTTAATCTTGTAGCCGGGGGTTTCCAGCTTGATGATGCGGATTTCTGGGATACCTAAAGATATTAGGTATCTGGGTGGCCAGTTTATCTGGGAGCGTGCTGTTAGGCTGGTGCAACCAGTGTGTTGGCTGCTTTGTGTTCTCCCTAACTGCCTAAAGGGATGAGAGAGGTCTCCATGGGCAGCTGTTTGAATCGCTTGTCCTTGAAACCAGCTCTGCTTCAGCTGCCGATTGTGGATTCCTCTTCCTTTCAATGTCCCCACTCACCTGAAAAACTAAAAATCCTGAAGTTTTACTTAATAGTTTTTGCTGCTGCTTTTTTTTTTTTTTTAAGTCAGGTTGAAAATCCAGGCTGTACTGAATGCAGACAAGCACTTGGCCTGAGACCCGAGTCACTGTCTTGTAAGTACAGACGCTGACACTGTAGCCGGTCTCCTCCCTGCTGTGTTGGGTTGGCCGAGTGTGTAAAGGTGGCGTAGGTATGTTCCACTGCTGTCATAAAATGCTTTTAGTAGTAGTTCCCTGCAGCTTAAATTCCCCTGGATATCAGGAGTCTGCTGGGGAGTGCAACCCCATGGATAGCAGTTTTGCTCGAATACAGGTCTGCTCTGTGCCTTGGGCCAGGACCTGTTGTTGGCTGTTGGCACAGGTTGTGCATCTGCTGTTCTCCAGGCTCAGATGGTTCTTCTGCTTGTAGCTTGTCCCTTCTGATCCTTTTCGGTGGCAGTGTTAAGGGTGTCCCTTCTGAAGGCGAGACCTGCTTGGCTGGCCAGAGGGAAGGGCTTTGCAGAGGCTTGGTGCCCTCCAGGAACTTTTCACAGCTCAGCTTTGCCCCTGGAGAAGCATCTTTTTATTTATAGTGTACCTGATTGGCCTCAAAACGTCAGAATGTGTTAGTCCCGATTAAAAGCAAAACTGCTGATACACCATGGCTTTATTCTGTCTAGAGCAAAGGCAATGAAAACAGCAAATTTTGTATTAATACTCCTCTGCCTTCTCTTCTCACCTTCTGCTCCTCAAAGCCTGGCAGGATTTTGTGGCATTTCAGAAGAAAATTCCCTCTGATTTGGCTTTGGGTGAGGAAAGCTGTCAAGGCAGTGAATTTGGAGAGACTGGCATAACCGCTCTGGGTGCTCCTGTGCCTTGGCTGGTTCCTTTGTGCACGGCTACATCAGTTCTTTCAGAGAAAAGCAGAGTAACACGATGAGGAGTTACACCTTGCAGCTCTGAAAGCTTTGGGAGAGGAGAACGAGCAAGAGGAGTGCAGCCAGATTTAGCGGTAGGCAGTTTGGATCGGAGCATCGCCCATGGCCGAGGGGGGTGCGACCGCAGCCCCGGTCCTGCCTTCCCTCGTGGTACCCGTGGGAAGCAGCGCTGGCAGTACAAAATTTTCCTGTACTTGCTTGTGTTCGATACAGGCTGTACCACCCTCCTGCGCAGTACGTCTCGGAGCATTCCCTGCTTGCTTCCTAGTTGTCCAGCTTTTGGGGATGTTTCTGGGAGCTGTTGACAGGGATAATGTGTGGCAATGCCTTGCAGATGGTGATAAATTTCTGGTGCTGACGTGTACTCGTCCTCTTCGCTCTGTAGAAAATCTTGGGGGCAATTGGCTTTATTTCTTGATCCCAGATGGGTGGAAAGTGCTGGGGAAGATGGAAAACAACTCGTCAGGGGTAGGAATCCTCTCGTGGCAGGAGCCTTATTGCCCCAATAGCCACAGCAAGACCTAGGGCTGAATTCTAGCTCAGGAGCAGCAAGGGAGTGACTGGCTTACGTTGCTTGCGCTGCGTTTTGCTCCTAGATCATCCTTTCTGTCTTGTCAAAACACATGGGTTTGGCCAGCTGGAAAACAGAAGCATGGAAGATCCTCATCCAGCCGGTGTGTTTGTTTGTGTTGGGCCTGATTTCGGAGCTGTAGATGTGCTGTGATCAGGCGTTGCGGCTGCAGGAGACTCGCTGCAGTCCACATGGACTTATCAGGCTTTTTTTTTTTTTTTTTCTTTAATTGAGGAGGAGGAAAAAAGGACGGAATTACTTTGGCTGTCAGCTTCCCTGCGGAGTGAACGGCGCAGTACTGCCGCGGCCGCTCTGGAGCGGGACAGCAGAGGTTGGATGGCGATTAGTTAGGAAATTTGTACTGGGGAGAAAGCAAATTCGTGTGCAAGCGTGCTTGGAGGGAAAAAACCTTTTAAACAAGGATGACTTTTTATTGCTTTTAATTAATTTAAAAATAGTGGAACTTAATGGGAGTGTTGGGTGTTGTGTGGAAATGGGTTGTATAATCTCGACTTGCTAGTTTAGGAAATGATAACGTATTAACTCTGTCTTGTAGCTGGTTGCTCACGTGGCCAATAATCTTCTGTTGCGTTCAGCTGCCAAAGGATTGCGTGCTGGCCTTGGCGCCGCGGGCCAGACGGACAGCATAACTTACCAGTTGGGTAGTGAAATATTTGAGATGTGTGATCAGGCGGCGGGGTGGAAGATAAGGTACCAAACTGTGAGTGCCACTCACTTTTTTTTTTGTTTGTGTGTGTGTGTGCTAAATTAAAATGTATGATTCTGGTTTTTGTTTGGATTGCAGTCTTTTTAATTTTTTGAGGAAAAGAGCACTCAGATCGACCGTGTTCATTAGCTTAATTAAAGCAATCTGCACTTTTTTCATTGATTAATACTCCTGCTTCCCCTAAGCAGGTGTACCCTGTTTCCGTGTGTATTTTGCACTCACCACTTTAACGTGACACCGATGGATTAATCTGGGCATCTCCTGTAGGCTTTGAGTGTAAATAAGTCTCTATAACGTGCCCCATCGTACTTATTTAAAAATGAAAGGGGAAACACCAGCTCCCTGTTTCATACGGAGGGTAGCGCAGAGGGAAACGGTGAGCTTTTCTTTCTGAAATGCCGTTTGACATCAAACACCTCGGTTTCATGCCACAAATATCCATGTGGAAC